ATTACCAAAAGTGTTATTACCAGAACCGTAGTCATTATAAAGTTCTGCTCTGAGAGGAAATATTATATATTTGGCGTGGATTCATTTGCAATTTGAATATTAATAATATGTTAATGGAAATGAAGCTTTAATCATTCACATTGTGTATATACCCTGTATAGATTAAGGTGGGAAGCATGTTATATTCGTATTCATTGATCACAAAAAACGTAGGGTTTCACTGAAATTCTAGCAATAAGGTAATACGTTATTCAGTCGCCGTCACTCAATTTAACCAATTCGTTTTCTCATCTAAGGACTCATCCAGCCAGACTTTGAGACCCTGTTCACTACTAAATTCGCTATAAGAGTTCCAATTGCCAGCGATTGGAAAAGGCGATAATCCATCAGAGCGACGTTCGGAGGATACGATAGATTCGAAAGAACCTCCCGCTCAAATTCTTCCAGGACAGGTTTCCCAATATTTGTCGTATGAGGCTTGGAGAATAACAACTTCACCTTATCTATTGGGTTGATTATGGTGAATAGCTTCATTCATTTGAAGGAACTCGGCCGTATGCATATCCTTATTCATCATTTTGTCTTACTCAACTGCTTACCAGCTTCTTCCAGTGTAAGTAAAGACGAACCATCATTTTTCGAGACGGAAATCTAATTTAATTCTAATTTAGGCGTGTCTACCAGTGCTAGTCATTTCGTTTTCACTAAAAATCCTATTTCCCTGTGACCGGTTACAACTCTGTACACAAATTGCCCATTATGGCCTTGCGTTGTCGAGTACTACCCCAGTTGTTAAGATGAGATTGAGTAACGGTGTATTCTTGTGATGTTCACTCAGTTTATAGAGTACTCAAGCCTATAATTTTTATGTAACTATTAGCCGTATTCCTTCGAAGATAAAACCTTCAACCCTGGTTTTCAGGTACCCGAGCGGGGTGAATCGCATCCTCCAATCTCAAGGTGCCATTATAGAGTTTTGCTTTTGAATAATAATCCTCGAATATTAGGAGCTGCTTAGCCGCGGCAAAATAGAAGGTAGACGTCGAAATAAAAAAAAATAGGTGTCACAAGTGCGCATTCTTTTCACTCGGAACTTTGATCTTTGACTTGACGTAAAACTTCGTTTATTGCTCATTAAAAATTACACGAGCAAAAGGGAAGTTTCAAATGATGTACGGAAATAAACAACAATTGACATGTAAAACGCAAAAAAACAAACGACAATTATTTGCAGAGAGTAAGTGTCAT